AACCTTGTTAGCAAGTAGTACAAATAGGGAACAATTCTGTTTTAGTTTTATCCTTTTAGGAAGCAAACAATTTTTTCACTTTTTTAACTGAGTATGTGAAACTGGGCCCCTTGTTGGCGCAGCAGGTTAAACTACTGAGTTGCTGAACTTGCTGACTGAAAGGTTGGCAGTTGGAAGCTGGGGAATGGGGTGAGCTCCCACTGTTAGCCCCAGCTTCTGCTAATCTAGCAGTTCAAAAACATGAAAAAGTGAGTAGATCAATTAGGTACCACTTCTGCGGGAAGATAACGGTGCTCCATGCAGTCATGCTGGCCATGTGACTTTGGTGTCTATGGACTCAGCTTAGAAATGGAGATGAGCCCCACCCACCAGAGTCAGACACAACTAGATTTAATGTCAGGGGAAATCTTTACCTTTACTTTTATGTGAAATTGACGTAATTTGCTATAATTTTTTTTTAATGTTAAAATGTGTATCTCCTTCTTCCCCGACATAGAATTGAAACACTTGTTTTTCCAGGTCTGAATATGGGTCTAGCAGAAAAATGGTGACTAGTCCAGTGGGTTTTATAGCTAGATTGGAACCTGCATTGGCATTATAAATGTGTGTCAACTTTGCCTGCAGTGTGCAAAGGAATATCATGCTTTCTTTCTTGTTCCATTTTTGCTATGTAGTTCTTGGAAGCCTTGTATCTTTCGCCCATCTGGCACCAAAGATATAATGAGAGCTCTCAGAGCAGTTTGTTACCTTGGGTGCCTAAGGGTGATACAGGACTAACTCAAACTACATTTTCTTCCTGAGGGTTCTTTTCAGAGCCTGCAATTCATCTAAGCAGTGGTCCCCACACAGCTGTTCTGAGACTTTGGGCATGCCATGCCCCTTACCCATGATTTTCTCTATTATTCACATGATGAGGAAAGCTAGGCAAACAAATTATGTAAGAATAGGAGCCTAGGCTCTGCTAGAATCAGCAGCTGTTTGGAAAAGGACCAGGGGAATTTATACCATCTCTGGCCTCTTACTGTGGGCTATGTTCTCCATCTGCTCTCGAATTCTGCAAGCTGATTTAGACTGCGGCATTGCTGATGTTTGCTTCTAGGCTGGATGCATAGGAAAGGATGAAAACAAGACTGTTTGGATGTGTTTGAGTTTGTTAACCCTTTTTATAGACTAGTACTTTGGAAGCCATCCCTGCATCTGTCCTCAAGTAGAAAATGCATGCTAAACCAGCAGCAAAATATTTTATAAAATTTCAGCATTTTTAAAGGATGTGGTACCCTTGGTTTTTTGCAGAGTATAGCTATGCTTGATTTAAATGCATGTCCATGAAAGACTTTTAAATGGAATGTGATGCCCTCAGATATGAAGAAAGATCATAGTCTGCTGGTAAAGCATACATGCTTTGCAGGCAGGTCTCAAGTTCAGTTGCTGGCATTTTCAAGTAAAGAATCTATTCCTGGCATATTACCAGCTTGGAAAATCTTCTCACTGAAGAACAGGAGAGCAGCTGACTTTGCCTTCCACAACCTGGCCTTTTTCAGATGTGGCGGCCCAAAATGCCTGTAATCCCATTTTTCATATTACTTTAAGATTAAGAGAGTTGTAAACCAGTACGAATAAAAGACATCATGCAGGGGAAGACTAGTGCATAGATTAACAGAGAATTTAAAGGTTTTCCCCTGACATTAAGTCCATTTGTGTCTGACTTTGGGGGCTGGCGCTCATCTCCATTTCTAAGCTGAAGAGCCAGCATTGTCCATAGACACCTCCAAGGTCATGTGGCCAGCATGACTGCAGGGAGCACCATTACCTTCCCACCGGAGCAGTACCTATTGACCTACTCCGGTTTGCATGTTTTCGAACTGCTAGGTTGGCAGAAGCTTGGGCTAACAGCAGGAGTTCACCCCGCTCCCTGGATTAGAACCGCCAACCTTTCAATCAGCAAGTTCAGCAGCTCAGCAGTTTAATGCACTGTGCCAAATCACTTTAAGGCATTTTTCTATGTTTCTAATGCTACATTCATGACATAAAGCTATATTTAACAAGCAAGCTAAGATGACAACAAAATCAAAGGAAAGGAGGAGAAAATGCCATGTGAGAGAAATTCTGATCAAAGTGTATCTTCAGGGAGAAAATATGACAAAAAAATGGAGAGAACTTCAATGAGACTTTTACAATTGACTGTGGGAAGCCCCATTGACCCTTCCTCTACTGTTGTCATATGGTCCCCTTGAAAAAGAACCATTGTCCAAAATCATGTCAAATGTGTTTCATGTATTTCTCATCTATTTTTTTTCACACTTTTACTCCAGGTACCGTAATATGATACCATCAAACTAAAGGAAGAGACCTGTTATATGAGATCAGCAATTATCATCTAATGAGTTCTTTCCTACCATAGCTACTCAAATGCTTCTGAGATGTCCACAAGCAAGGTATGTTGAAAATGGATCTCCCTTATTGTTTTCTCTCTATAAATTGTATTTACAATTGACATAGGCTCCAAAAAATTAATGGGATTAATTTGACATAATTTCAGTTTTAAGATTTATTTATTTATTTATTTATTTCGGACATTTGTATCCTGTCCTATCTCAACCTCCGCAGAGGGACTCAGGGCGGCTAACAAACTGGCACCCCATGGTGCCCACAACCAAAACATAAATATGCAATTTAAATAACAATATAGCAATAAAACAGTAAAAACAGTATAAAGAGAATTAAGCAAGAACAATAATAATTTCAATAATAAGATCCTAGATTTTTCAACCGTCTCCCTCACCAGGGATTATACAGCCTGAGGGCAAACAGAAATAATATCCTCCCAGCAATGCCTAACCAGTGTGACTCTAAGGGACAACCAGGATGATTTTAAAACCTAGAATGTGGCTTTTTGAATAGTGAAGACAATGTTGTATAGGTCTGAACCTGCACTTTGAATTGTACCTGGAAATAGCCCATTAAGTACTAAAGTTCTCATAACAAGAGTGCCATACACTTCCTGTAACTGGTACTAATCAGCAGTCTACCCACAACATTATGGACCAGCTAAAGTATCAAAACAATTTTCCAAGAATGACCTGAATCGACTCAACCCTCAGATTTTTTTAGTTGACCCAATTTTAATATTATGAAGCAGGAGCTGGGCTTTGAATAGCTCACAATTTCTCTGTATTTCAGTAGTGACCTAAAGAGAAAATTGGATCCAAAACAGAGAGAAAAACCTGGATATCCTTTGTCTGAACAAAATTGGGATATTAAATAGAAATGATGGATGAAATATTGGTAAATAGATAGTTTTCTCACAAGGATACTTTCTTTTTTCATGTAGGTTGTTAGAATAGAAATTACCATAGTTTAGGAGCCCCCAGTTAAACCACTGAGCTGATGAACTTGCTGATCAAAAGGTTGCAGGTTTGAATCCAGAGAGCAGAGAGAGCTCCTGCAGTTAGCTCCAGCTTCTGCCAACTTGGCAGTTTGAGAACAAGCAAATGTTAGTAGATCAATAGGTA